AGTATATCTGATCTATTTTGGGTATTTTTTGTTTTATCTTTCAACTCTTCAATCCATATGTTGTGTTCTCAGTTCTTTGTATGCCTTCTTGACGCTGTTTGAAATATTAAGGTGTTTTTCGAAGGTTCTTGTGCGGTGCGCCTTGTAGTCTAAGTAGATACATTTACTAATGAGTTTGTAGAGTGCTTTTAGTTCGTTTTTCATGGCTCTTGATTTTGGTTTTGTCTTTTGTAATTCTTGTCTTCTATAAATTAAGGCCTTTGTGCGTGCTGATAGTATCTGGTTTTTCCCTTGATTTGTATTGGGTGAAACCTCGTAGGCTTTTTTTAGGCTGGTGTCTATTGCGTTTATAATATTATCGTAGTGATTTTGAACGGTGTCCTCGTCTCTCCAGTTCTTAAGTAAGTTTGTTATGCAACTATTCAGCGTTTGTTTGTAGGCTTGTATTTCTTCTTCGTTTTTTAATTTGGATCTGGAGCATTGGCCGAACATACACCGACTTTTTGTTATGGGAAGAATGTTAAGTGTCGCTCTCATAGGTCTGTGATCCGAGGGGTAAGTGATGTTTAAAGACTGTATGTTGGATATGTTTTTGTGTAAAGTTGTCAAGATATAGTCTATTTCGTTTTTTGTTTTGCCATTAGGAGATCTCCAAGTCCATCTTTGTTTACTATTTTTTTTGAAGAAGGTGTTCATGATAGACAGATTATTCTCGTGCGCAAAATCAATGAGTCTCTCTCCTCTACAGTTTCTATCTCCGTAGCCGTGGTTGCCAGTAGCGGCTTCATTAGGATTGGTTTGTCCTATTTTGGCGTTAAAATCTCCCATGACTATGATATTGTTATCTGAGAGTTGTATAGCTTTGTCGACAGTACTGTAGAAAAATTCCGACTCCTCGTCGGTCGACGCCTCCGTTGGAGCGTAAACTTGAATGATACTTAATTTTAAGTTATTGATATTCATCCTTAGCAACGCTACTCTTTCTGATAGTCCTGTGAAGCTTATGATGTATCGTTTTAGATGTTTTTTGACAATAAATCCTACTCCATACAATCCTGGCGTTTCTCCAATGTAGTATAAAATAAACTCGTCGTGTTCTTCAATCTTGTTTCCAAGTTTTCTAGTTTCTGATAGACCAATAATATCAAACTTTATATTTTTCAAACACTCTGTTAATTCCAATAATCGTGAGTATGTCGACAAAGTTTTAACATTGTATGTTATTATGTATAGGGTATTATGATTACTGTTTTTTGTACTGTTTGTTTTTATTTTCTCTGGAGGGTTTTGGTCGTGATCTTCCTCGGTGACCGGCCGGCTTGGAAGATTAGTTGGGGGAGTGAGGTAGTTTTTTATTTTTTTGTTGTTATTGATAATGGTTTCAGTTGTTAGTTTTTTGGTCGTTCTGTATTGGTTTGTACGTTTTCTCTCCTTATAAAGTTGAGTAAATTTTGGTTATTTTTCTTCTTTGCAGTTGGCGCTGGAGATATGCTTAGTTGTTTAGGAGGCGACTCAGAATTATTTCTTTTCCTTTTTCCACCGCCGAAGTCCTTTACTATGAGATTATCTCCCCTAAGAAATGCAATCCTCCCATTCCTTCTTTCTTCTTTTAATTTCGGCAAAAGTTGTTTTCTTTTTTCTAAAGTTTCTTTTGTAAAGTCCTCTTCGATATATATAAAAGGAGGTAGATTTTTCTTATTCTTAATTATCTCATTTCTTTTCCAGCATGTAACAAATGAGACAAGAATAGGCCTGGGTTTATCACGTTGCCGTTGTTCTTTTCCGATTCTAAAAGCGTTGTTAATTTCGTTACTTTCTATTGTAACTATTTTACGTAGGGTGGATACGATGGTTTTTACTGTAGAGTTTTGGGTTTGGTCTTCTTTTAGTCCATATACTATAAGGTTATTCCGTTTTTCGTATTCTTCTAGATGTTTAACTTTGTTTTCTAACTTATCTACTTGAGTTTTCAGCAAACTGTTTTCATCTATCAATATCTGCAATTTTTCTTCTAGCATTTCAGTGATATTTTTGGTTACTGCTATTGTAATGTCTTTGGTTTGTGTTGCCATTTCCTCTTTAATCTTACTCAAAAATTCCCTCATATCAATTTCCATTTTGTTTTGTATTCTTCAGTTCCAATTTTTATTATAATTTTATTTAGGAATATTGTATAAAAACAATGAAAAAAATAAAAAAGTAAAAATATAAATTTAGGACTAAGACGGATTGGAACCCCGACTTCGGAGTGCATGTAACCACTACGTGTCTCTCCGAGCCACGCGTCGTTAGAAATATCAATTGAAATTAATGTTCATATGACTTCGTAAGTCGCGCTAAGTTAAAGCTGACTCACAGTTGTTTACTGCGTGCACTTTGTTCACGAATAATAAAATTATTTCATCACATTGATTGACGTTAATTCATACAAAACCTTAATATCCAACACTAACCCTATGCTATATTCTAACAATATTTATTTGTTATGATACAAGTATAAAGATACGAAGATGTACATAGTTAGTTAATGTTTTTATATTATACTATAATTAACTAATGTCCTAAATTAACTAAATCTAATGTCCAATCTCCTATTATTTCGGCGATGTTAAACTTTGTAAAATAAATTGCACAGCAGTTATTTTGTTTTCACTAACAGTTAATTATATTCTGATAATTTTAAAAGTTTATTGCATAAATGTTATCCTCAGGTAGTTTACTGTCCTCCGATGATAATGTCCACTTCTTAGTTCTTTACCTTGTACGATTTTAGTGATTGGTATTGGTAACGCCCTCTATTGTCGGACCTCTGAAGTACTTATAAAACTTGACCGTCGATCGATCGAGACGATCAAAGTGGACTTTGTTGTTATGGTACAGGCACTCTATACTAGATGGCGTTATCGACTATGCGCTATTGTTATCTTTTTGCATTCTCATTTAGCAAAAATAGGTTATATTTTTATTGATTTTGTTGTAAAAGTTCACAAATCTATAATTGATCGACACTTTAAATTTTCAGTAACTAATTTTGATAAAACCACTGTTATTTCGCTTCGACTGGGTGTCTCTTTTGATAGCACTTCGACTACTTTTTGATATTGCACTTTTTCACAATATTTAGCACTGAGACACTGAATAAAAAGCTTTGCCCACACTGTATGTTAATAGATGATTGATTATTTTCCACTTTTTGGTCTATACACTGGGTTAGGGTACACAATTATTTTTTAATGTTTCGATAAATACGGAGCTGATGTTGACAGCGGCATATGCGATCTACCCTCCTCCTCATACCTCATACATAAGAGTAACGTACATTTTTGACATACGTCAATGAAATAAAAATATTCATTTTGTCAAATAAATAATGATTTTATAAGGTAGTCATAGTAAAATTAAATATGTTTTTGACGTATCCAAGTCATACTACATGTATTACATTTTTTAATGAGGTTTTTGCATGTATATCTTTAAAATTTGATATTTTAAAAGGGCTATTTGCTTGAAATAAAAATCAAGGTTTTGTCAATAATATTTCATACAGAATGTTATTTATATTTCCCGACAAAAGTACTTCCTGTTGGTCAGGAACTAAAAAGTAGTCTTATATAAGGCCACTTGAGCTAGACCTGGTGTCTGATGACCAGGGCAAGGCAAACTGGCTGATATAGGGAAACGTTCTGTAACAAAAATAAAATAGGTAAAAGGGACATTTTCCAATTAAAAATCGTGTCGATTCTGATGATTCTAACTGAAAATTCGCTTAAATTTAGCTTAGTTATTTACAGTATTTTTTTTTATATAACTGGGACACACGGGATGCTCACCTGATGTTAAGTGCCGCCCATGGACTCTCGCAAGTGCGTTGCCGGCCTCTAAAAATTTTGTTTAACTGAATAGTTTGTATTTTTAGTTGAATTGTGTCAAATTAAATTTTCTAATAATAGAAACATCACCATTACTTATACCTAGATGACCGGAGGTACTTAAATTAAGTTAATTAAAACTTAACCTATTGATTCCTGCAGAAACAATTGCAATGGAGTACTTTATCGCTTAACCGACTAAAACGTATCCGAAGGGATAACGAAAGGTCTTCGAACTCCGTCATAAAAATAGATTTTTATAATTTGTTTTTTTTTCTTTTATTGCAAAGAAAATATATATATACTTTTGGATTCGCAATCAAAATTTTATTAAGTAATTTTTAAGTTAAAAATTTGAACGTGTGAGACGTGAACTAAATCTATAAGAAACGAAACAGAAGAATTGTTTTTTATTATATCTATAATCCATTAGAGAGTATATGTTTGCCTCATTATCGCTAATTAAAGTCATACAAACAATAATTGTAGGTATAGTGTCTAGACTTCCAAGACCAACTTTATATATTTAAAAAGTTTTTATATCTAACAAGATAACGCCGGTTTAGTATAAAAAGAATATCATAGTCTAAGATTATGTAAAAGTAAATATTGTCCGTAAAAGGTCATGAACTCGCCAGCCATTGTGTCTACCCATCACTTAACATCGCAGCATCTCGCAGCATCTCGCCCTTTTGTCTTTATAAAAAGAGAATGCGCAAGAGTGCACAATTATTTTAAATAAATAATTGACAATGGAAATTATATTCGTTCTTACAACAAACTCCCAAGCGAAATTAGAGAATTATCACTAAATAATTTCAGTTTCAATTTCAAGTTAATTAATCAATAAAGCTTTTTATAAATTTTACGAGTACTTAAATGATCCTAATCCTTGGGATTGATTTTCTCCAGTTCTAACAATTTGTATGACTCAAAACTTAGCGATTAAAAAGAGTGGCGGAAAGTTTCTTGCCAGTTCTTCTTGCCCGCTTTACGCCCTTGACTTGCGAACTGGTAGTAAATGTAAAATTACAATTAATTTAACTTCTTTTTGACGTTCACAAGTGTACCTGTTTACCTATATGATAAAGATATTTTGAGTTTAATGACATTTAGTGAGCATGATGTACTATGAAAAAAGCCAAAGAAACGGTATTATGTTTTTCTTTAAATATTTGTGCATGATTAATTTATTGTTTACCGTGCTCTTATTTTCATGAGATTTATTTGATAGCCAAAGTTTTTAATTAAGATATATTAGAAAAGTAATTTACGCAGATTTTTGTAATATATCTTAGGATAATTTCCATCAATTAATATTATTTAAATTACATTTTCTCAACAACTAATAGTTAATCTCTGTTATAATGAATCTATTTTGTTATAAAGGACGGCAGGTTGCCAGAGTTGCCAATATACCTCGCGGCCCTCATCATGTGTAGCGGATTCTTCATGATGTACCTCGTCGAAGAGCTAGTCCACGTCTACATTACCAGCAGAGAGAACAAGACTGCGAATACCAGTTTTACAAGAGTTTTAAGTATAAGAAGAAATAACGATGAGGAAGAGGGGGAAACGCAAGTTATCAAAACGTTAGAAACTTCCCAAGGACATGGTCACAGTCATTTGGCCATTCAATCTGATGATACAATTGTGTCAGCGCTTAGAGGACTTCTAGTCGTGTTGGCTCTGTCTATTCATGAGCTTTTCGAGGGTCTTGCTGTTGGTTTGGAGGCGTCAGCAAGAAGTGTCTGGTAAGAGAATTATATTTTCAACATTTGAGGCACTTTTGGTATACAATGCGACATATTTGAGTATATAAGAAGTTTTACTGTTTCAATATGCTTTGAGATTCATAATTTTACCCTTCCATTCTTGTATATATAATGCTTACGCTATAACGTATTTATATAATTTTTAATACGGACTATGTTTTCTATACATATCATTATTTTGTTTATAAATTCATTTGTTATTGCTATGGAACACGGTCATAGTTAAATGTTTTTCGTTTGGACTATAATTACTTATTTAATTTATTAATCAATAATAAATTATTATTATAATTAAAATCCTATTAAGTTTTCATTGTATCACGGAATCTTAAGATTATATATTTTTACTGCGGATCTGACACATCGTAGAACTTATTGACAGATCCTTTCCCACTCAGTCCAGTTTGAATAGAACTTTATAAATAAAGCTGAGGTTGACATCTCTCTATATGAGATTAAGATAGGAATTGGATTACATATCAGGTCATGTATAAAAGGGATGTATTTAAAAGCAAGAATTAACTTTCTGGACCTTTTTAAATAAAATCCGCGAACAGAGTATTTAACATCAGCTACGTATTTTTGTTCTTCTTTTTTGAAGCTATTTTGGTGCGTTAGGGAAAAATGATGAGAGTAAATTTTTACGATGCACATCGTCACAAAAAACCGACACCCTGAATATTTGTTCAAACGTCGGTAAAACAGTCTGGGCCACTAGTTGGCGCTTGCACTGTTTAATCGACAAGTTGCATTGTCTGTCATGGTGTAGTGTTTTTCAGAGTCGTGTTTATTTAAACCAATAATGATTAATGATTTCTATACGAGAAAACCCGTTCTAAAAAAAACACTATGTTTTTTACAATAGTAGAATATCATATCGATTGGAAGTAACCATTAAAATTGACATGAAAAATGCAATTCGAAGAGGGAAACGTCCCTCTAAAGTGCTCAAAAAAAATAATTACGCCAAAGAAGTATAACTTCTAACGCGTGTACACTGTACATACACACGCTTTTTTTTCATTTTTATCCTCGTGCCTCCCGTTAATAATATAAGATAATGGTTTATTTCCAGTGTGTGTTTAAGTTATAAATAACGGCCATGATGTAATGCATCTGTAGGTGGGGGCAATTGTTATAAATGAAATCGGAGACATTCGAATTTAGATAATAAAAAAAATTCCTTTAAAAGAGAATGTTTTCAGAGAATTCAGGATCTCTGAAGTCCGCTAATATATATTTGATAACCGCCTTGTAACATCTTTAATATTGAGCAGTGGCTTCAGCGTACTCTCATCCCTGAGGTCGTAGTCCGAACCCCAGTGCACAACTGGAGTTTCTATATGCGCATTTAACAATCGCTCTAACGGTGAAGGAAAATATAGTGAGGAAACCGGCATCCCTTAATACCATATGGAAGCAGAAGGCTGATTATCTACTTGCCTATTAGATAAAACAACTGATCACGAAATAGATACAGAATATGTCTTAGACCTAAACTGGTTTTTTATTCATATGTAAAGGAATGTATTTAAAAATGATTTAATGTGAGATTTTTATTGCTTTGCTTATCCGTTGCTCTCTCGTAACTTATATGTAATAAATATATTTTTGAAGTACAAACTTCTTCGTCGTTGTGCAAAAGCATCGTTGTGATTTGAAAGTCGATGAAACGAAAAAGCGACAGTAAAAAGAGACCCCACATAAATTCATAAGATTTAACGTGGGAGAAAATGAGATAGGATAATTAAATACACACTAATTTAAAGTTAATACACTGTATAATGCTTCCTATCTCATTTTCTCCCTAGTTAAATCTTATGTCGGTCTCTTTTTACTGTCGCTTTTTCGTTTCGTCGACTTTCAAACTTTAATTATTTTAGTTTTTATCAAAATTAAAGATTGATATTAAACTTAAAAATTAAAATTACTCTCGTCACATTATCTTGAAACCAAAATTTTTGAAGGTTTCATTTCTACCACGTGTGAATTGCACACAGGTTTTTTTTTATAAATTCTGTGTCTGACCATGAAAATAATGTTGTGTGTGAATTAACCAACGCACATTGTCACCATACGCAGGCATGAACTTTGTAAATTATTATTTCTTTATTTAAACAAAGTAAATGAACTCAAGAATCCTTGGTCTCGTTTAAGGAATATACTTTATCAAGATTTTATCACACTATCAGTCAACGTTTAGACGAATTACTTATAGAAGTGCTTCAAATCTTTAGATTAGTAGCTGTTATTTTTATTTTATCTCATTGCTGCTAACGCGCCATCTGGCTATTTCGAAAGCACTTTTTGCTATATGCGTCCAAATTTTTTCCATAGCTTATTACATGTAAACTGAACTATTCAGTTATGACCTTATAATCACTAATATGACATTTGCATGCATATTTATATATGGACGTTTTATTTATAATTCATCAATATGGTACCATTTTCTTTGTAAATAATCGGTTTATTATTATTATTAAAATTTACGTGTTGAGAACCCAGGTCCTTCTCAACACTCGTTTATACTTTTCCCGCAGCTCCCATATATGGGGTGCCAAAAATGGAAGGCTTTTGTCAGGCATAGAAGGCCTGGACTACATAAATGATGAATGAAATAGACAGAGTTTTTATATTGAATGATAATAAATTGAATAGCCTATATTGGACTAAAATAAGGATTACATTAAATTTATGTCATATTTAATATAAGTACACGACCTTTGATGGAGTCAAGGTCTCCTCCAAATTCTTCCATTTCTCTCTAATCTTCGCTACTATCTTCCAATCATTCCCAGAAATTTCTTTAATTTCATCTACCCAGGTTTCTGGTGGGCGTCCTCTTTTTTCTTCCCACTGGGCCATTCCAAGTAAGAGTCTTTTTGACCCAGGTGGGTCTTTAATTTCCAACCGAAGAATAGAATGCTCAATAGCCCTTTGGCATACTCCAATCTTCTTTTTTAGCGTCTTATTAAAATATATTATATATATAAATGATAATTAAGTAATTTGTTCTAGGTATATGTTTGGTGCAGTATCAGCTCATAAATACATAATAGCGTTCTGCATTGGAGTTGAACTTCTCGCTGCCGGCACCAAGCGGTGGCTGTCTATCGTCTACATCTTCACATTCTCCTTTGTCTCTGCTCTTGGTATTGGAGTGGGCATACTTTTGGTGGGAGGAGCCGGGGCTGCGTCAGCTGGATTATATTCAGTTGTTTTACAGGTAAGAAGAGAGCAGTGTAAGCGAGACGGATACAGAGGAAAAGGAACTTTATAACTTATAGTTTTAGAGGGCTATTAAAAGTGAGTCAGAAAATAAATAGCAATATATCTGATATAAAGGTTACTTGGATTGACAAAAATTTGTGGTAATTGCTTTATTTATTAATAATTTCATTAATTTAAACATTATTTTCTCAGGGTTTGGCCTGCGGTACGCTAGTGTATGTGGTTTTCTTTGAGGTATGGAGACAAGACCGTACTGGAATCATGCAGTTCCTATGCGCAGTCGCAGGTTTCGCGCTTATGGTCGGTTTAGAAGCCGTCGCTGAATCATGTAAGTCAAAGTCAAAATATATTTATTAATGTAACTTATTAACGTCAAAAACTATTAGTCTAAATTTAGTCGGTTCTCAAATCAAGGGCGTAAATTCAAATTCAAATTCAAAAATCATTTATTCACGTAGGTAACACAATGTACACTTGTGATTCATCATTAAAGAAATACATATTAATGCTTCTAATTTTACATTTACTGCCAGTTCTCAAATCAAGGGCGTAGAACAGAAGAGAAGAACTGGCAATAAACTCTCCGCCACTCTTTTTAATCGCCATGTTTTTTTACACAACGTTTGTAAGGAGCTGCAACCATTACACCATGTTCCACATAACATCTTAAGTAATTAATAATAATAACATAAATTAAAAACAAAGACTTGTCCTCTATCAGCAGGAGGCATGGTGAAATAGGAGCACGCACTTACATTCTCGTGGGAACAACACGCAAACACATAGTCGAAATAATTAACATCACCGCATACACGAATTCAAGTACGACCAGTCACCACAAGTAGCACCCGTTCACGAGTATGACGCATGGCCAGCCATCGGCCCCCTCGCCATATTGGCGTAGATCAGATAACCAGTATTTAGTGTAGCTTAAATATTTTAGTTTAAAACCACGAAGAAAATTGGGGTTTTTAATGGAATTAATATAAACGCCAGTATATCTTCCATATTTGAAGTGCCAAATTGTTTTTGTCTGACAAAAAGATACAAACTTATACATTTTTCTTTTACAGTTGTGTGACGATAATGACCTGCGCAAGCGACGACTAATTAAGATATCTTCATAAGTATTATTTTGTATTATTGTTATTGTGTAATTAAGTGGTGCCAATAAATATGTTGTTTTATAAATACTATTTTTATTTCCTTAAGAACAGCACTGGCTTTACTAGGTTTAAACACAAATTATGTCGAGGTGAGCGTTCTAACTCAGGCTGTTTACCGATGGATTTTTCTCTCTCCATCACTTGTTACTATGGTGTAAATAAAACATTATGACATAGAGGAGATGGGGGGAACTGGAGCCTACTAAGGAAAAAGTTCAATAAAAGGCAAATTTATTGATACTTTATTAACTTTACATTAGGAACTAAACTTATTCGACTATCATTTAATCACAGCGTTAACGTAACATAATTTGGCATTTTGACACAAATAAACTTTAAAGAAAAAAACAGGATCGCTCTCATTACCCGACTTTGCGTGAAATGAGAGCCTATAATTACCTGAGTGGCAACTGAGTAAATACGAGCTGTAGTTTCGTCTTTAGGCGCACCGCTCCCATTACCCTCGGTTCCCCTATTAATTGATTTATTAGAGTTCACCACATCATGCATAATGCTATATCTACAGTACGTAACAAGCTATCTTTTCTAAAATATATGACAATTATGATAAACATAAATATTACAAAAAATAAACATACTAGCAAAACAGCGGATGAGGTATCAGATAGGTACGTAACAATGATTTTTAAAAATTGATCAGCCCACTACCGAATATGTCACGCTCTGGATCTATAGTCTTTATTCCCTTCACACAGGGCCGCGCCGCCTATGTGTGCGAAGTGTGCGGTGCACACAGGCGCTGATACAATAAGGGCGCCGCCACCGAAATTATTTATACTACACTACAATATTCTTACGTACGTTTGAAGTTTCATTTTACGCTTTAGGTTTTAGTTTACATTAATTACTCAGAGCTTAGCGAATCAAAAGAAAGGCCGCTGGTGACCGCCGTGAGTTTTTTGAGTGTGTTTATGTCTTATGATTTCAATAATATGCCGACATACCTTGATAAAATCCAAAATGAACTATTTTTTATACTCGGTAACCAAATTCAACATTTTATTTTAAATTTATGTCGAATTAATAAATATTTTTCAATAATACTGGATTGTACTACTGACGTTTCACACGAAGAGCAAATTAGTATGATAATAAGATTTGTCAACTTTAACATGTAAACTAGAAAGTTAAGAATAAGAGAGCATTTCCTAGCTTTCCAATTTATAATAGCACTTTCTGCTCAATCGTAGATACAACTGGCGCTGGAGTAACGTCATTTATAATAGAAAAACTAAACGAAATTAATTTGGACATAAAGAACTTAAGGGGGCAAGGCTATGATAATGGCTCAAATATGCGCGGTAAGAATATTGCGGGATGTACGAGTAAATCTCCGCACTTTTTATGTCCGTGCGCCAGTCATAGTTTAAATTTAATAATAAATGACGCTGCACATCTCATACACGACTGCGTTTTTTAATATTGTGCAAGAACTATATAAATATTTTTCGTCCTCTACTAAAAGATGGGATTTATTACAAAGATATGTCATAAATCTGACCTTAAAAACGGTTAGATAAAAATAACATCATAAATAAACTATGTAACAATTTAATTCACGTTTTATTTTTCACGGCAATTGGCCAGCGGACGTTTTACCTATTTAAGTGGATTAAACTAAAGAAAAATTTTCTTTCAGTCAAAATTAAAAAATACATTGAAACTTGAAGATTCTTAAAAAATAGGCCGAAATATAGAAGGAGTTCCCTCAAAGGCCTGCAACACACCCGCTAAAAATGTCTATGAGATTCAATGACTGCCATTTTTTTCCGTCCCTAAGGCTCGTTTGACCCCTATAGAAAAAGGAGGCGCTTCATGGGTTTCGCACACAGGCGCTGCCGGGGGTCGGCGCGGCCCTGCCTTCACATAAACAGAAAGTCGCGAAAAATCAACACATGTATCAGGCAAGGGATTACCTAAATAATACTTTATTACATAAATTTATACTATATACATTGTTACAAATAAAATTAGATACTACTTGTGTAGTAACTCTGGATAGAAGGATATGAATGAATGCATCGTATCTTTTCATGTCCCAAGCCTTCCTCCACCAATTATCTGTGTAATGCGATATAAAAAAAACATTCTAAGGTCTGCAACCTTCCCATTGGCTCACTTCTTTATAGATCTGTTCACTTACGTATAAAATATTAAAACAAATTAAGAAGAAACATTGTTGTTGTCCGCTGCAGCAACCAATGAACCGATTTTAATTAATATCTTGATTAAACTTGGGAACTTGCGAACTACACACGTGGAAGCCTAAATTGAGCAACAAATTGAATAATATAAAATTTCAAATATATCACATAAATACAGGTATCTTTAAGTCCATCAAAAAGAATCAAAGAAACAGATGCAATCTGAGGCTAAATTTAATCATGGAATTACCATCTTATGATAAAAGTACTATAAGGCTTACTTATAGTACTTTTACTCTTAAAGAAGTTTTATTTCAATCTGTGGTAGAAATGTAGCGACACCTACAATCTACAGCTCCAATCACTCACTACAGCTACTTCAGCTGCAGTCAAACACTGAATCGCGCTATCAAAGTCATTCTGAACGCTAAGTCTATATACTTTTCGACATTAGCCACTAGGGCCTTCGTGCCGGCGAGTCAGTGCTAAGACTGGCCTAGGATCCTCTATTTAGGTCGGAGGAAGAGCAGCATCTTCCTCTTTAAGTAGGTATTCCTATGAAGACTCGAACGAAACAGCGTTTAATTTCAGTGAAACAATCATTGTTTTGGGCTGTAGCCAAGTACACTGTTAGGTAAACAAACCTTATCTTTTGAAGTGAAAACTTCTTTAGCGGCGTTGTAGACTTTTTTTGGAATGGGTAAAACATTTTAAACTCGCGTCAGGACACGTGACCTGATCGAAAATTCGTAAGGTGGATGGAGATAAGACAGCTGGCGCGGAGTATTTAATGTAATATAAATTGTCATGTTTGTGTACGATAGCGCAATAAATAAATATTGTATTCTACCACATAAATGATAGTATTTTTATACTGATAAATCAAGCAATTCGTGCAAAATTATTCCCTAACCATTCCAAAATATCAAAAATGCACAAGGTTAATATTCAAGTTTTCACTTCTGCCGGCACTCCCGAAGTGCAACCCGTCGTTTTTTTTATACAGAAGTGGACAGACGTTTTGCCTTAATCCGACCTAATGCGGGCCATTGGAGGGCACCATTGTCCAGGAGATGTCTATTTAGCCGTCGCTTAAATGATCGCATATTTTAGTTCCTTAGTAGCAAGGAGTTCCAATCCTCAAGAAAAGACGATCCAAATCATGTAGTGCGTGACTTAGGGATGTCCACAACAATGGTGTGACACTCCAGCATGCTACTAGATGAGCATAGTTTGAAAGTTCCAATGTGTACAATCTATAGATGACTGAAAGGCAGGCAACTGAAGGGCCATAGTCAAGAATTGACTATCGCCCTTCAGTTATATAAGTATATAAGTGTTATGTAGAAATTATTATGTCAAGTAGGTACCGTTAACATGTCAAATGGAAGAGACTAGCTGCCCACGACACAGGGAATCCTAGAGTGGGGTTAGTGCAATTTCTTTTTAACCAATTCCTTTTTTATCATAATAAAGTGTTTTATTTCATTCTTTTGTTTCTTAGATGTGACAAGGAGCATGATGTAGTTGCAGCTCCTTACAAACATTTTGTATTAATACCTACTTGTTTTCGATTTAGGTACTTATTATTCGATTGATAAAGTCAAAGTCAAAAATCATTTATTCATACAGGTAACACTATGTACACTTATGAACGTCAAAAAAAGAAATATACATTAAATGCTTCTAATTTTACATTTACTGCCAGTTCTCAAATCAAGGGCGTAGAACGGAAGAGAAGAACTGGCAAAAAACTCTCCGCCACTCTTTTTAATCGCCAAGTTTTTTGTTTTACAAATACATATTATGCATATAATATAATAAATTCTTACCTTTGAGGTAGGACGGACGGAGGTTATTATTAAACGGAAAACGGATGTCTGTTCTTATTACAAAAAAGAGCTGTCCGCGCTATATATAACCTAGGTCCTAGAGTTTCTCTCCGAGAGAAATTCAAAGAGATAAACATTCTGACTGTAACTTCACAATATATTTTTGAAAATTTACTTTATGTTCACAAAAACGAACCTGATTTTGTCAAATTGTCTGATCTTCACTCCCGAAATACTAGGAACAAAAATAATTTAACAGTTCATGCTACTCTCCTTCATAGAATAAGCAACTCGTTCATGGGTCAATGTATACGCTTTTACAATAAACTTCCTATGGATGTTCGTAAACTTCCCCTTAAGAAATTTAATTTTTTTATTAAATCAAAATTATTAACTAAAGGTTATTACAGGATACCAGGAATAATTACTAACTCGAAAGTTAGCGGACTTACACACTTTTACTTAATTCTGCGCAATGAGAAACAATAAATTTACTGATGCGCATCATTTGTTTGAAACAATATTCCTATGAAAATTCCAAAAACTCAATCAAAGTTTGCCACATCATCCCCTCTTCCGCGTGAGGAGGGACTATCAGGTACCGATCGGTCCACTGCGCATGGCTAAAAATCTGCAAGACGTGCCAACTCATTTTCCTGCTCCTATTTACTAACACTTGTCACCATAATTAAACAAGATGTCACACAACTGTAAGCTTTAAAATTGATTAATTTACTAATGGAGCCACGTTATCGAAGTAGTACAATAATTCATGACGATCGTTGAGCTCGAAAAATCTCCACGGCCAGTCTGTAAACATCAAAAGTCGATTAGTTGTTATAGCAGTCATAAATTTAATCATCCAATTAATTAAAATTAGCGAACATACCTAAGAAAACTTGGCAGCTTATCGTCGGTAACTCACAATGAAAAATAACAACCATCTCAAAACCTCCATCTTGTTTTGAACCCAACCATGTTCGTCATACCTACAAAAACTCGAACATGTGTATACCAGATGCCGCCACGTGACGCTAAAAAATCGTTAGCCAATGGAAAACGTCAAATACTACTATCTGCTTTGACGTCATTCGTACGCCTATGGAAATGTTTAAAATAATCTTTGGAATCAGTAGTATGTGATAAGAATCGCTTTAAATTTGCGATCAAGCCATTTTAGAAGCAGTGTCGAGTCAACAGTGCTAGCCACCACACTAGGTAATTCGTGTGTCTCATTTTCTTTAAACGAGTAACTTTAACGATGATCAGTGCAAGCAGACTACTACGTTAAATTCCAATACTCCGCACATTACAGTGTGCTGACGTCATTCCAAGAAGAGCAAGAGTCACTCGATCGAACTCGATAAATCTGCAATCAAGCCCTTCTACATGCAGTGTCGAGTCAACAATGGCAACAGTCAGGATTCAAGAAGGACTGGTCCGTGGTGCCGTCGACGTCAGCTGCTATGGCGTTAATTTCTTGGCCTTCAAAGGGATTCCGTACGCGGAACCTCCTGTGGGGTTCAGAAGATTCCAGGACTCGGTGCCAGTCGGGCCTTGGAATGGAATTCTGGAAGCAAGTGGTCACGCCGGAAAGTGTGGCCAAATAAACTGGTTCACCAGAAAAATCGAGGGTGGAGACGACTGCCTGTACCTGAACGTTTACACCCGGGGCTTGGCTGCAAAGAAGCCCGTGATGGTGGTCATCCACGGTGGGAACTTTTCCTTCGGCTCAGGAGATGACAACATACAGGGTCCTGATTTCTTGGTGGAGGATCTGGTCCTGGTGACGATCAACTACCGCGTGGGGATCCTAGGGTTCCTGAATCTTGAAGACGAAGCAGCGCCGGGGAACCAAGGGCTCAAGGACCAGGTCCTGGCTCTCAAGTGGGTGAAACGGAACATCTCCAGCTTTGGTGGAGATCCGGACAATGTCACGATCCTCGGGTACAGCGCAGGTAGTGCTGCAGTTCACTACCTGGCGCTTTCACCCCTGGCAGAGGGGCTATTCCACAAGGCGATCCTTCAAAGTGGGGTTGCAAGCACCCCCTGGGCCAGTGTTCCCGCCGAAAGCATGAAGGAATCTGCGGTGAAGGTTGCTAATCTCCTGGGACACCAGTCCAAGGACTTGGTCCAGGTGCTGGAGTTCCTGAAAACGGTTCAGGTGAAAGATCTCTTGAAAGCGGCGGGGTCTCTTTTCACCTGGAAAGTCAGCGTCAACACCTTCGGCCCTTCCGTGGACTCCCGGGCCAAGACTCCGTTCCTGACGATTCCTGTTGATGAAGCTGTCAAGCAGGGGATCAAAGTTCCCTGCATCCTGGGAGCAACCAGTCACGAAGCGATCATGCAGCTGTCTGTTCTGACTGAGGACAATTTGGCGTTGATGAATCAACACCAGCACCTGCTGTACCATCCAGCAACCAGGCGCTTCCTGGAGCAGCAGAATATCTCATTGGATGTCGTCCGGAACTTCTTCATGAACGGCAAGGACGTCTCCAGGAAGAACATTGAGAATGTCATCGACCTGATGAGCTTCCTGCATTTCTTAGGAAATATTCACCATATCTTGGAGGTCCAACAGCAGACTGGTGTTCCAAGCTACTTCTTCAAGTTCAGCTACTTCTCGGAGGACTCAGCGATGGTGCAAAAGATTATGCGGACGGACTTGAAAGGAGTCGCCCATTGCGAGGAGGTTGGCTACCTGTTCAACATGAATGCATTCAAGAAGATTGGGATCTGCCCGCCCAAGAAGGGGACAGTCGAATGGGATGTTCATCGGAGATTCGTGGAATTTTGGACTGCTTTCGCTAGAACTGGAAATCCTAACCCTACAACCTCGAACGTGATAAACCAACCCTGGCTACCCGTCGATGGCCACAAAAATGGGTTCACCTGCCTTCAGATGTCTTCCACCCTCAACAGCACCCTAGAACCAAACTTGCTGACTCAATTTCGGAGCATGTCACCCTCGAAAGAATTTAAATAAATATTTGTCATGTCTTATTAATTTTTTTTATTTTTCTTATCTAAGTTGGATGGAACTCTCTGGAACGCGACTAGTTTGGTTTGATTTGGTCAAGCCGTTTAAAAGTTATAAGAGGTTTACATACATACACACACACATACACAGACACAGTGACAACCTCTCAGGAGGGGTTAGGAAAGATTCATAGAGCCTCAAAACATCGAGATCTGTTGAAAACTCTTGAATTTTCATCATGCGCATCATTTGTTTCGAACAATATTCCTATGAAAATTCCAAAAACTCAATCAAAGTTTGCCACATCATCCCCTCTTCCACGTGAGGAGGGACTATCGGTCCACTGCGCATGACTAAAAATCTGCAACACGTGCCAACTTATTTTCCTATTCCAATTTACTAACACTTGTCACCATAATTAAACAAGATGTCACAGAATTGTAAGTTGTAGAATTGATTAATTTACTAATGGAGCCACGTTATCGAGGTAGTTCAATGATTCATCATAAACAACAAAAGTCGATTAGTTATCGTTAGCCAATGGTCAACGTCAAAGACTACTGTCTGCTTTGACGTCATTCGTACGTTCATGCAAATGTTCGGAATAATCTTTAGTCAGTAGTAGATGATACGGAACGCTTTGAATACTTTACAAGAATGTTTCTGTTGATCTCGTTCGGTATGAAGCGGTAAATACGCTTACTCAGCACAGTTTAAAAAAGCCTTTAATGAATGAAAAACGTCAGCGAGATCATCATCATGGAGTACGTTGTAGTTGACTACTCTTTATATCTTCAAGGTCAGACTGTTGAGTTGATTGAAATGTTGAAGAGCTCGTTGAATATGATAGCTGCTGTTAGGTACGAATGATGCAGGTCAATCACATTGATTGAATCAAAGATCCATCAATTTTTGACTCATCAGGGACTCAGTTTGAATTGATGTACTTGATTCAATCAATGACGATGCAACGACATCGATAGATGAGGATCGACAAAGAACGAAAATTAGTGACAGTCAGAGATGAACGATTAGTGGATTTGGAAAGCCTAGGTGGTCTAGAAGCTTGGTTGTACGATCCATGCAGAAGGACATCAATGCATGCAATCGTTATCGCATACATGTCGCGTAGTTTCTGTTACAATTATATTAATATTCTCTGTCATAATCAACTCTATCAAAATTATAGCTTTTCCTGGGAATTTCATAAAAATAAATTCCGAGATTGTGACTTGTCAAGAAAAAGAAATGAAAAATATGGCAAAAACATGTTTACTTTATTTGTTCCAAGAAATCTAAAGAACCAATTTAACCGATGAAATATTCCCGCATTATTTAGTGTATTAATTTTTTTTAACTTTAATGCATAGTGCTTGAGGTTATAAAGCCGGGCAATTTAATTTTCATTTAAAAAAACTCTATAATTTATTAAAGTAATTAATATTCAAAACTTAAAAAAATCCAATTTAAAAAAATGAAAAGATACCCTTTTGAAATTCAGCTCTTCAATTGTTGAACAATGTTTTACTATAATTTCGCTACCGTCTACCGCAGAAAATTAGTGGTATTAATTACGTTTGTGTTTTTATAGATAAGTTTCGCACCCGAACCAGTTAAATCTGCGATTAATTCGTTTTGTAACACTTTTGACTTTTGAAGTTTCCTACTGTCATATTCACAAATTTAATAGCCGGCATAATGAACATTGTTGATAACTCCAAAGCGAGATAAGTGCAAACATGCAACCACCGGGGGTCAAACTATAATGTATGATAATGCAATGACGCAATATGTTTGTTAGGCCGCTAGTATAAAGGCGACTCAATCTGTTATCTGAGATGAGTCCTCAGTTGAATTAGCGCAGTTGATCAGCGCAGCGAACGTTGCTTCTATTGACTTTGTGCATTAATTATTGCAATGAGAGTATATTTTAGCGGGAACAAACTAGACATGCTATCATTTAAAAATGAGTAGTAGAGCTTATCTTTTTTTTTTAGTGGAAATATAGTTATGTGATAACGGAAATTTTCCGATGATAAAATAGGAAGATATTTTTGTATCGTTTGGTATCGAAGCGGCTAGGAGGCCAGTGGGGTGAAAACCAATGAATGGTTGACCTTGAACGCGGCCGAGCATACGGAATCGGTTGGTTCGGTGATTAAACGAGTGTTTTTCATTTGATTCAGATGGAAAGTAATAGTAGAAATAGTGATCGATTCTGCGTTGTGCATTTCTTAAAATTGCCTTCCAGAGATGTTGATGACTGCGTATGTGTGCCGTTAGCATGGGTCATGTTTCAGAGGTCGACGGATCCGAAATGCGTTGTTGCATATCCCAACAATGAAACTCTTATCAAAACAAGAGAGCGTGCGAAAAGAATGGAGACATAAGATGATAAGTGGAGGTTATATCTGGCTGAAATTAAATATAGAACAAGTAAGTTTTATTTTATGAATTCGTTGGTCATGCGTTATATTGTCAAAGCATTTTTCGTTTTAGAACAACTTTGAAATTAAGAGGAAATGATGTATTTAATTTTTTTTCAGATACTTATGAAGATGGAGAGCTTTGGATAACTACAAGAAGGACTGATGGGCCTTCGGTACCGGAGAATTCGAGGATAAATGGTAAGAATCAGACCATACGCGGAAAGAAAATTTTGCGAAAAATTACTATGATCATATCGTAATCCCGGACAAGACTTTTCTGATTGTCACCTTTGTAATGTAAAATTTCAGAAATTACTGTTTAAACCACAATTTTTACGATATTTATATTGTAATTTACTTTACCGACATTAATACGTTGCTATGGTCAATCATATACTTTAATATTTCAACATCGTAATTTCTGAGAGTATGTATGAGACTTTGTGTTATTTTGAACAGTATATTTTGTTAAATAGAATTTACGATGTAACATCGTAAAAATGATTACATTTTGATTCGAATCTAGCAGTACGATTTTTTATAAGAAAAATTAACATGTTCTCATTAAAATTTTTCGTAGAATTTTTTTATTATCTATCATATTTAAATTTTTTTTACAAAATAGTGATTAAAATTCCTATTTATAGGTGCGCAACCAGCCCCTCCGGTGAATAGAGAACCACGCAGTGGTAACCGGAATGATTCGTCAAAATCCACGGAAGATAAACCTCAGTTGACAGTGAAGCTGGATGAAAGTCTTCGGAAGCAGTTACTAAACATGATGAATAAGAGACCAGCTTCGGCGGAACCGAAGCAACACCTTGATATGAAACAGCAAAAACCGATGAAAATCGCAGGTGCAAAAGCCAAGTGCGGTCTTATTCCGAACGCAAATCCACAGCCTGGAAGCTCAAGAATAAAACAATCGACCCCCAGAAACGACCAATTAATGAAAAGTGCTCAGCCAAAAGAAACTTCTGCAGGAACCAAAGGTAAAGAGAGTCATGAGCAAAGTACTAAATCTATAAACCAAAAAATTTTCAAACGTAGTAAACAAGAGCCAAGTATGCCGATACTAAACGAATATGAACCAACTAAAGCCATTAATATTGAACGACAAGACCAGTCTCAACATGATAAGCATCCGAGTAGAACTAATAGCAACATCCAAAATCATCTCACTAGTAATATGACGCCTGCATCAACGACTGCGCCGAAACCGCCCGCTATAGTCGAGCAGAATCCTCAGCCGAATCAACATAATAACCAAAAACATCCGCAAGACAGTGGTAATTCATCTTCAAACTTCCAACCGCGAATAACAGATGTTCGATCTATGGCAACAACTTCCAACAATCAAGAACCACGTGCTGGTGACGGTTCAAATAATGGATCATCTTCTGCTCAGCATACACCAGACACAATTTCTGCTAGACTGCAAGATATAATAAGGAAAGCGCCGTTTTGTGTACCGTCGCAACCTCCAATCAAGAAGAAAATGCGCCTTGAGAATATTACGAGAAATGTAGCTGTGCAAAACCGTTCGACTTTAATGGACGAAACCAAATCATTATCGGAGCCTCCAGCTAGAGAACCACCACTAACCAGAATTCAGAATCGGTTGCTCGTCGACTATCAAGAAATTCAGCATGTGCCCAGAATAAATATCGAGAGACCTCACAGCGTGACTGCTGTGGATCCAAGAGTTGTTCATCAGAGTATCAACAATGTCGCATCGGCTTCACAAAACTCTTCAAGCACACCTCAACAGCGTCTGAATTTTACCAGTCAATTGAATGGAGAGCAAAATTTACCAGCTTTGCAACAACATATGCAGCAAGCCACTCGAGGACAAAATTTACCTCAAAGATCCAGCGGATCACCAAGTGTTGATCAGAGAATAAACGCCACACAGCATCAGCCCAACAGACCTAACTCTCCAACGATCAGGATGAGGATACCATCTTTGGATAGGTATCCAGAGGGCAAACAAAATCGGATAATTGGAGGTCCCGAGCTTTCTGATCAAGCACAGCTGAAATTAATTCAACAAGAATCACGACGTCCACCAGGTAATCCAAGACCTGCTGGCGCTTTGCCCATACCCACCGTAGAGTGACCAAATGCTTCTAGAAAAGGGATCCTGAGAAAAGCGCCATCGCCTGTTTTGTCAGAAGTTCCGAAATCAATCATCGAAACACTTTTAACTACTAGTAACGACTATCTATCGAATGAGCAGCGACTGAAAGTCCTCATGAATGACAGTTACAAGCAGCTGCGCATTGCAGGTTTAGAAAACGTAATTCGAAACATCTCAGCAGCACAATCACGTGATACGCTCAGCTCCAGGATGCCTACCGGTTCACCTGATCAACAACCGAGAATGGAACCATATGTCTATGAAGATATGGCTCAGAAATCACGCATGCAGAAGCAGCTGGTTGATCAACCCAATGCCAAGAATCTGAACTCTCAAGATGACATTGTGAGGTCCACTGCTGCTGGTGAATCCTCGTCGAGAGGAGTAGACAGGGAGTGTCATACAGACAGATACATGAAAGAAAAACCTGTGTCGCCAGCTAACGGGACGAATTCAGATTCAGGATGTGATACTGATCAAGAAGCAGCTTTTGGCCATGAGATGTTAACAGATGAGACAGTGAATGAGGCTGCGCAAAATGGTTCGTCAAGACGTGCTTTGGAGCAACAAATGTTGGACCAATTCGCTACCATCTTTACTCAAATGGGCTCGACTTTGAATCATACGGCGAATATGTTCAATCACCTACGGGATTCGATGATGGAAACTGCTAAGACATACCAAACGTTGTTGAGTAATATAGAAAAATTCAACGCGATGGACAGTTCAGCAAGCCACGCATCTTCCTCTCGTAACGTCAGGCAGGAAGTCCCACTGGTTGCTCAAGGGATACCAGCCGCACTATTTGAAAGAGGAAACCGAGACAACGGCAATCAACCGAGCAATAACGCCGTCAATGAACCACCAGAAATAAATCACAATAACAGATGGAGATTCGTTCTACCGCCGGAATATGATTCTGAGGACACAAAATGGACCCTGAAGTATCGGGAATATAGGCACGGGCTAGTAGAACTCTTGCCTCGAAGCGGTATTTACGTCAGCCACGCAGAGCTCAGGCACAGCAAAGAAGAATCGAATAATTGCCAATCATTAGCGCAACGACTGCTAGTAGAAGTCTTCAATTTAACCGCTCTGAGTGTCTGTTCATCGATGACTGAAAAAGCGCAGATTGGTTACAAGATGCGCCCCGACGCAAGGCCCGATTTAGATGACCACGGATGTTTAGTCCTGCTCAATTTTATTCTGGAGTGCGGGCTAGAACGTGGTTGGAATACTGACTTGCTGCCTATTTTCCAAGGCTTAGACAATAAAGTTAAAGAGCTGCGGTACAAGCTCGGTGTGATATCTAAGCGCTCAAGCGCATCAAAATCGGTTGATGCGTTCTTGAGATATCGTTGTCGAAAAAAATCGAAAAAAGTGTTTTTTTGTAATAACTCCAGAATTTTCCGTCTGATAAATTTTTTTGTTTTGAATTTTTTATGGAGCTCGAAAAATTACATCGATCGCCGCCAACCACGTGAAAATCGGTTAATTAATTCAAAAGTTATAGCAGTTTGAAAATTAAAAAAATCGTGTTTTATCAAATTTATATTAGATTTTTGAGCTCGAAGAGCTCAAAAGCATAGAACAGCTGCTTTTTGAGCTCGGAGAGTTCAAAATAAGAAAGATCTTACATTTTTGAGCTCGAAGAGCTCAAAAACATCATGCATCAACGCTTGGTACTGAAAATTAGCGGGAAGTTGCAGGGATGGCTTAGGGTCAACCGTTTTCCAGATTTTTTTTTTAGAGATCTTTGCGTTCTGGACAATTCCAAAGCGAATGGCAAAAAAAAATTTTTTTGTGCGCCCTTTTACCATAAATCCCTACTAACATGTAGGGATATGCCCTTTTACCTTTAGGCACGCGATATATGACAGCTTTTAACAAATGTTAGATCTCTCAATAATTTTGGATCTCTAATTGATTTAATTTTTAACATTCGACTTAGGTACTAATCCTGTATATCCGATTATTTAAATGATAGAAACGCCTGGGATTGAGCTGCTCGCTTATACAGCTATCGCTTGTGTTTTTTTTAAGCTGTCTTTCACTTTTTTTTATGCCAAGTGAATAATGTTTATATTACGATTATATTGTTCAATTTCATTATTTTTTCCTTGCTTTAAGGTACACCTTAAAAATACATTTTGTATCCATTGTAAGTGTAAACATTATGCGGGTATATCATAAACTCTTTTGCTTGATTTAAAATTTGATACATTTTAGTCTATAGTTATTTTGGGCTGGCGATCTGAGTGAGTTGTTGCCCCACATATTTTTATGGTGCCACTGGCGGTATTGCTGTGTACCGGGTTGTGCAGCTCCCTCAAAAATGGTTGAGCTGCATGAGCTATTCGGGGCATGCTTGCCGTCTGCTGGCACAGGCTTGCTCAGATCGATCTGGTTCTTTCTTCCAAAGACCAGTCCAGTAAATACTCTGCATTTGTTTGCACCAATTTATTAATTTATTATTGTATTATCTGGACTATAAAAGAGACTAACACCCCCGAGTTTGTTTCGACATTTCTTCTCAGGGCAGTCAGTTAGGAAATGTCGACTTCATCTAGTTTAGGATGACATTGTAAAAGTGATTTATATAGTCCTACTTGCAAGAATAAACTATTTCATTTCATTTCTATGTGTGGGAGTTACACTCCAATCCAATAGGTTTTTGACGGGTTCAGAGTCGAGGCATACTTTTGAACCCTTTGACTAAAAGTCGACGTAAAAACTGTAAGTTATGGAAGACTGGACATATAAGTAAAATGTGAAGGAAAAAGCCACAAGGGGTTAGCGCTACCTTCCTTATATAGCTTAGCTATAGGTTTGAAAACTATAAAGGTTTATTAATTTTAATAAAATCGTGTAAAACGAACCGTCTCAAGTTGTCCGATATATTATCGAATAATACTTTTGAGAACAAATAGAAAAAAGTCTGTGAAGGGAATTGCTTAGTTGTTAGTTACTCTTTGCCTTCCAGAGAAACGGAAATAATTAAAGTTTATTAATATCGTATCATCAGCGTTTATTGCGCTTTTTTGTCTGATTTATTTCAAGTGCCATTATGGACTTATCAGTATTCAAATCTTTAATATGTACGATAAACTTTATACGTGATGTGTATCGGCTTCTTAGGATATCTATAATCTCGGTTATTTTGAGGACAAAATATATATTTTTGGAAAGCTGTGCTATTATTTAATGGGTTTAATGTCGAACCAACAAGTTTCTATTTATTGCTTTGCAGCACGGCATTCTTCAACGCGTTTTCCAGAAACTTCAAAACTCGAGTTTTCTCAGTTATAATGCGTTTAACTCTATGGAGCAGGATTGTTAGGATAGGAACATGAAGGATTTAATACTTTGACTTATACAGACCTGGCATTCCAACGAGAGCGCCACCTTCGTCAATAATCTGTTCTTAGAAGCTATACATTATGTGCGGTAGGTGTAATATTCAACGCCAATGTGCTTTAAACCTAAGATTGTAGGGTGATGATAGTAATGCTAATTGTTTGGAATTATGACAAACACGGGCAAATGCATTTCCCTCAATAATAAAAAAAGAAAAAAAAGGGTTACCAAGGAAAACCTTAGGTTTGCTAAGAACCTATATTTTACTGCTCCAATTGTGTCCAGTTTGTGTTTCCACCACACCAACTTCTTTCTATTTAAGATAATGTATATAATAAATATAAAAAAAAAAATAAAAAAAATAATTGTATAACTATTATATAATATATGACCCCCATTTTCGATATATTTAATAGAGTAGACTAAACATGATCTGTAGATAATATTTCAAAAGACCACTCCTGATTACAGTCGACAGTTGGAAATTTATATCCAATGATTGATGTCATAACTAATATTAAAGTTTTCTGTGCTAAAATATGATATAGTTAAAGAAGAAATTAGGTTTAGATTTGTCCAATTTGTAATTTAAATGTTTCATTTTTCTTTATTAAAGCACTGCCTGGACTGAACTACCGATTGTGTCCCTGTATAGGTAATATTTTTTTGTCATAGACAATAGATCAGCTTTCTGTATTTTTAAGCTCCTAATGCTTTTCCGGTAATCGAACCAGTACGATGTCTCAATACTCGTATCTGTCTGTATAATAATAGCCTTTCCAAAACTTAATTATGAGCGTAGAAGTTTCATTGATTTTGAATTAAAAAAAAATAACTTTTAACATTTGGTAAAATACACTTTAACATTTACGCTACAACCTCTTTAGGTTTTGGCCTCAGATTTCTGAATCTGTTTAATGATCATTTTTCAATCTAATAGGCAAGTAGGTGATCAGCCTCCTGTGCCTGACACACTACGTCGTCTTTTTGGGTCTAAGACATGTCGGTTTCCTCACGATGTTTTCCTTCACTGTTCGAGCAGTCTTCTCGACTTCAGTGTTAAATGCGCACACATAGAAAGAAAGTCCATTGGTGCACAGCCGGGGATCGAACCTACGACCTCAGGGATGAGGGTCGCACGCTGAATCCACTAGGCCAACACTGCTCTAACTTTTTTGGCTGTTAGTATTTACTAAAACAATTTTGTATCACGATTCACGCTCTAGTGCGCAGTCATATTGAATACGTTAGCATTATATGGAACCTCTTGTATCCGATCCCAAAGCATTGAATGTATTCAAAGATCATTCACACGACACCTTACATTCATTTGTAAATCATTTTTCTCATAGGCACCCTCTCAAGTCGATGATGGTTCAGCGACTTTAATTTAAAATGATGGTCAGAGATCTCAAGCCGGTGGAGTTCAACCTAGGAGTTCAGACAACTCGCGAATACAACGAAATAAATGCTACTTATTCAGAGCGTGACATATTTGGTAGGTGCCTGATCAATTAAAAAATAACAACAATGTTATTAGCGAACAAGTATTTTTCAATGGGTTATGTTAGGTTTTACTATTAAAAAATTTTATTTGTGTAGATGTAGCTGAAATTTTTAGATATTATTTGTGAAATTTATGTTCACCATAATTGTCATGTATTTTAAATATATATTGTAACTTATACTGTAAAAAATTCATTATATATGTCGTGGTGTAATTTAATAAATAAATGAATATCATTAAGTGAATGAGCCGAAAATCGCATCTTATCGCATTAAACATAGATACGGCCAGTATTATCAAGAACGTAACGGAAAATCGAATAGCTATCATAATAATAATCGAAATGGTAAGGCAAAGCGCTCCGTATTTAGTAAACGAATGTACTGACGTGATCGTTCGATTGGACGTGTAGTTAAGTATACAAGTTGTATTGAAAGACGCAACGTTCGAGTTTTTAAAAACTATTCTGCATTACTTTATTGCCAAACATTCTTTTGAATATCATTGAACGTTGCCATTTAATAATAATAATTTTGAAGTTTCCCTTGAAATCATTTGATATCTTAGGAGATATTATTAAAATAACGATCAAATAGGTGACATAGTTGCTGCAAATTGCATATTTCACACATTTCGCTTTTCCAAATGTTCTCCAGTTTTATAATGCAAGTTCTAAAATATTAAATTAAAGAACAGAGGGTTGTAAGATTAACCACAGAATGCAATACACAACTAAATCAGAGAGTTATTATATATAGCCGCTTCGGACGGCTGCACATTTTGTTAAATATTTTGGAACTAATTATAGCCTATATATTTACAAAGGGACAATATTCTTAAATCTAACGGAAAGAGAATTTTCGACATCGGTTCAGTAGTTTTTGAGGATTTTCAGTATAAAACATATAAATTTTCCGCAATATCTATTCTATGGTATAGTCTTCGACCGACTAACCCGGATCGAGTATTGATATTAACGAGGAAATGTGACAAGGATTAAAAAAAACAACCAAATAAAGTTAGTTTTAACAAATCAATAATTTAATTAGAAATTAACAGTTTACACTAACGATATACTCTATTTCATAATGAAAAATAATTTATCTATGTGTACAGTAGATATAATTAGGCTGATTATAAACGAATATATTTGCGCATGGTAAATATACACATCTATTGTACTTAAACATGTCTAGGATATTTTTAATATTGAATAAGATCAACCCTTAACTAATCGAAAGAGACAGAGGAATTTCGAAAAATTTATCTTAAATATTGGGATTTAACTACATGCATGAGCGATTGATAAGTTTTGTAGTTAAACCCCACAGACTAAGGCGGTTTTCGGATCTTACTTCGGAGCTTTACATCCGTCTGTATTCAATTCTATACATTATAATAATTTGCTTAGTAATCGAATTAAATAAAGAGTTTTCTTTCGTGTTTAAATGTTTGTATACGATTCATAGTCATATGATATAACTACTTATGCGATATATAGTTTTTATAAGGAAATTCTCTTAAAAAATGTATTGGACTAACTATTATTAATCAGTCACATTTGACAGTGACAGATAATTTGACAAAGACAGATTGGAGTCGTTTGACAGTGACTTGTCGTCCATCTGTAACGTCAACAGTATTTATCAGAAACACTGTCAAATTTGGAAATATAACATTCATAGCTATAGCTATAAAGCAAGATACCGTTAAAAAACCGCCTCATCCGTAAACAACACCAAGCCGTAACGTTCTATATACTCTAAGGCCGGTACTCGTCACTTACACGTATATATATACTTTAAGTAATAACGTTTTTAAATGCTCAACTATCAAATAGACTATTGCATTGATAATTAATCTATTTGTGATCTACCAAAGAGATTTATACATTTTAAAAATTTACAGCTTGTATAATAATTATTTGACTTTTAATTAAAGTAATAGTGTACAGCTATTGACGATATGTGAGAGTCTGGTACCTATATAGGGCTATAGAAGTCCTGTATTAACCGGTCAGCATATTTTTATTTGTATAAGTTATTGGAAACTCGCTCTACATATATTATGAAGTTCATATGAAATGAATACATATTAAATAAAGCTATTAAAGAAAAAGAGAGTCCCTCTATTACTCCTCCCTTAAAGGCAGGCAACACACCCACTAAAGGCGTCAATTGGATGTAGTGGCCGTCTTTAATGGCTGTCCCGTAGGCTTATAAATATATATTCGTAATGAAAAAGTAACATTATATTTGTATTTTTGTTTTTATTTCCAACGCAAAGAAGATGTAACAACTAGAAATGCTTTACACTTTAACATTATACATAATTAAAAATATGTCCTTTTGTATAAAACCCTTTGTAGACCACAATAACAATTGAAATGTTGGAATATATGTTAGCGAAACTAGAAACGATAGTAAACTAAAATTAATATTATTCAGGCACAAATCACTTAACCTAAAACGAATTACTAATTACAGAAATGCTTATAATCAATTATTATAAATTTTCGATTTTTAAATCATAAATAAGATAATAGAATGGACAAGCACAAAGCACCTTGTGAAGTGTCTTACGTTATGAAGTTGTTGCTTTCAATATCGAATTTATGTTATTTTAAATTTCGAACAATTTATCATTCTTATTTTAAACTATTCGACTTTCAAACTGATCTATTGAATATAATTTTTGATTCACATCGGCCATTACGTTTTCCGCCCAGATTTTATAAAATCCTAGCTGTGCAAATAAGACTAGCTTATAATAAATTTAAAGGAATTTATCGCGTGAAATAATCAAATTCTTTTGGCACATTAAAGAAATTTTGTGCATTATAGATCTACAAAACTTGACAGGATACGTTACAATAAGCATATAACAAAGTTATAGTGAATCTTTTCTAGAATTTAGATTTATTTTTCTTTATGGAATATGCTTGCGACAACATAGCTATCCGACAGGCGTGGCCCACTAACGCTAAACAAATTTATATTGGAATGACGTGACCATATTTATACAAATTTTGGTTAGTGGGTCACACCTGCCGAAAAGTAATGTCGTATCAAGCCTCAGGGTTGCCTTAAATGCGTTTGTCGTGTCGGAGTCGGCCAGAAACTGGGTTATATCTATAGTTATAACATCTCTATACATTATATCAATTCTTCTATTTATTGTATCCACGTTCCAACTACTTTTACTGTACTGTTTACAAAATGACGCTAATGCTGATATGTGAGACTATTTGCACTGAAAAACTTGGTCCAAGAAAAAATAACATCTATATTAAGAAATGGAAGAATAAAATATACCTAGAAGCTAAATGACACAGCAAAGTTTTATCGATAAATTCTAAAACGGCAATTCGGTTTTTCATTGTTACAATCCGATATCATGATTGTAAAATGGTCATACCGGAAATAATAGAACATTCGAGAAATGATTAGCGTCATTCTGCCAACCGTTGTTGTAATCTGTTTAAGATTTGAGTAGTTTATTCGCTCGCTGGTTCGCGACTGCTATACGGGTCTCGTTACTCTCACCCTAAAAATAGATTAATTCATTATCTTAAACGATTAAAATACGAAGGAATATACTGTAGATAATAATAAAAATCTTGGGCCCCCTTTGTTGAAATTAAGCAATTTTAGACAAAGCGTTGCAGCACGGTGATTATATCAAAAGGAGTCAAAGATATTACCTCACAGTTATCATTAAGTGTAGGTCCCTCTAAAATCCATAGATTCTTAAATCTTAGGGAGCGTTTAAGTATTACGTAACGAATTTTGGGTGGGAGGGTCATTTTGTAAAACGTTACGATGCGGGGCGGGGATTGAATTACATGTCAATATTATTTTAGACTTTCAAATACTTTACATCACATAATGATAACTTTTAGGTATGAAGAGTCAACTCGGTGGTCCCGAAACGTTTTACTATTGGGTACAGAAAAACGTTACGGCGCGTTACATTGGGTGTAATAATGTCCAAAAATTACGTGACGTAATACTTGAACGCTCCTTTAATAAATAAAGAGTGAAAGCTATTATTGTTTTAGTATCAAACTATTAAAGATTGTATAATATAGATTTCATAAAGCTTGTCAAAGAAAATTCGGTAAACGAATGTTCGTTTGAAAACTAAGCTATTTGGTGCTTAATTAAAGCGTGCTTTATAGTAGAAAAGTGAAATATGTTATGTTTTATTCATAATGTATAAAAAATATTGTTAATTGGAACTAAAGTGGTTTATTTTAATAATGTTTGGCAGTTTTTTAACTCGTGTAACGGTTCGCGGCAGGAATATCTAGCGGTGACTAACTACGCCGATGTCGATACGACACTTGGGGGTGTATGCGGGGCGCACGAACCATGCGTCAGCGCTGATTGGCTGTCCAGTAGTGTGTCCTGTTATAAGTTCTGCATCCGTCTGTTAGGCTGAATTTAGTGTCACGCCGACCGCACGCGCACCGTCAGCGCTGATGGTCGAGATATATGAACTTCTAGGAAGCGTTTTTGAATGACGCGTAGCTATCAGCGCGCACGGTGGTCAGCGGCTGCGCGGCCGTACGCGTCGCGCGTCGGCGCCGCGTAGCTGTCAGCGCTGACGATCGCTAGAGCGCCTTTGCTTTCAGTGAGCGTTGTAGTGTCGAACGGACGTCGTCAGCGTGTACAGTCATGGCAAATCGCGAAGTGGATACAGGTCGAGTAAGGCGGTCAGTACGATACTAAAACGAACCACGCTGAGCGTCAGCGCTGACGAACTACGCGCTGATCTATGAGCGCTGACGGTGAGCGTGAGACTAAATTCAGCCTTACAGTCACCTTCTTAATTCTGTTAAATTTGCTTAATTTAAGAATAATCTATTCGCAATTCACATGTCAGCCTTGACAATGACTTGATTCATAAATATTTGGTAATATTACGATTTATATGTAGAGACAACAATTCCGTGCGATAGTACCCATGCGCATGTATCCGCTCTTCATTTCGTTTACCGTTAGACATTCGTACTGCTACTTATACGTAGAAAAAATATTTTAATTTATATGTATATATACAGAAGATGTTAGTGTAAATAATTATTTATATTCCGTACAATAATATTAAATATCAAGACAATAGAACCACCTTAGTTCCATCTTCAAACGATTTTATGTAGTTAGTCCAAAACCAGTGTTAATTTCAATTTTCTAAGTTGTGCGTTATTATAAAAAATAATACTTACAGTATCGTTGTCCGTAAATGTGTTAGTGTATGTGTGTCTGTCTCGTGGTGAGAAAACTACTCGACTATATATAGCGAAGAAATATTTTACGAGGTATTTATGTGCCTAAATCGTATAGGAATAAAAAAATTATCAACTAGCTAATTAATTTATTATGAAGCATATAACAATTACTCTAGCGTTGATTACTTAAAGTATATTTGTTAAAACCCGAAATGTAGACTTTTTAAAGGAACAAATTTCAAGACAAGAGTATTTATGAAATCCGTGTACGCGTATACGCGTATGTATACGCTTTTACTACGTATACGAATCCTTCTTATAACGCCTGCATTAAGTACTTGTATTCCAAGATTTTCTTTTCTTTCTTTAGAATCTATTTTCATATAAGACTTTTGCACTTTATACATATATTGACGACGGTTTTGGATATCTAATCTTCTAACACCGTTATGGGCTGGTTTCGACCTGCCTTGTTGCTATTTGTTTCCGATTTTTTCCAAAAACACTTCAGGTTTCGTATATAAACAAAATCCTATCTAAATGTAATCTCGAATACAAAACTAAGAAAAGTTTTTTGTAATAAAAAGCCGTTTCATACAAAGCATTTTCTAAGAAATATTCCATAGAAGCAGGTGTGTTGAGATATGTAGTACGTTTGTGGGTATTACGGGTGGATATTTTGCATAGAACATAAATGCTCCTATGAAATATATTAACCTAACTCCAACTTATCTTCATATTATCACAATAGCCAATCCTTACGATATTCTTAAAGTTGACTACAAAATCCTATATTATTAGAGAAAAGTTTTTTTAACACTGGTCATAGTAACATTTTCATATAGATTTATAAAAAAAATGGGTATCAACAAATAATCGGAGCGCAGGTAAATTATTTTAATATAGAAAGGGGGTTTAGCAATTATATTGCATTAGATTTTTATGCATTTAACAATAATTCCTTCAAGCAAAAGTCTTGATCCTTCCCTTTAATAAATAACATTATTCTATACAACTTCAAATGTATACTTATTATTACAGATAAAGATTACTTGGATAATGTCACTAAGCAAAATACTGGTTCTTTGAATCGGTTGCAAACACTTAAACTTAAAAATATAACCTTCAAATTGACATAATTAAAAAATTATTGTAAAAAATTCCAATTAAAAAAAATAAAGTCCTTTTTCGTGTTGTTAAGAGTTTGCAATCGACTGTACCACGAGACGTGTGTGTGTTTGTGTGTCGCCGCCGCCGTTTACTTGAGGAGCTCGTGTGCGCGCTGGTTGGCGACCTTTATTCTTGTTTCATTCGAATCACCCTATAGAGAAGTGTTTCTTGTCTTTGTAACAGGTACATATATGTAATGAAGTTTGTGATATCTAATCTAACGTTAATGCCAGTTTGACGTTTGACAGTGACAGAACGACGAGTGCGTTAAGTGTCAAATATCTCAGACTTTCATTTGTAAGTGTCAGAACGTCAAATTGGCCCTTATAGACGTTTGACAGTCTTATGTTAGCTGTGTGTTTGTCTCTGTCTAGTGAAACAAACGTATGGTGG